TGAGCATTTTTCACTGATTCTCCCTTCATGGAAAAACAATGGTGGTATATCCAAATCATTGTATGAGAAACGAATATCATTTGGACATTCTTGAATGCTCATGATTTCAGGATGCCCAAAAAAAAGTAGAAGATGCATTTGCAATCTCCTCGTTAATCCATTGTGCCACTATCGAACCAGCAATATGAGCTTTGTTTTTGACCATCTTCTTCAAATAGTACATGTATCTCTCAAATACATACATCCACCTAAAATGGACAGGACCACCTAAGGCTACTTCATCTGGAAGGTGCACAAGAAGATGTTCCATAACATCGAAAAACGATGGAACAATTTTTTTTTCCAAGTTACAAAGCTTAACGGCGATATTTGCCTTCAAAAGACCAACATCTGATTCTTTCAAAACCTTCGAAGAAATATTTGTAAACAGAACACTGAAGTTATAACAACAATTATAATAAATTTTATAAACACTACAATAAAGAAATACCTCTAATCGCTGTGTGAACATTTTTTGGAAGGAGTTCAGCAAACGCAAATGGATAAAGCTGCTCCATTATGAAATGAAAATCATGACTATTCAGTTCATGTAGCTTTAAAGTGCTTTCGTCAATACATCGACTCAATTTGGAAGAGTAGCCATCGGGAAATTTGATGTCATTTTTCAGCCATAGAAGGAATTGTTGTTTTCCGGCATTTGATAACCTAAAAATTGGCACATGCATTGTTCCATCTTCCTTTATCTCTATATCCCATCTTTTGCATATTCCCGGAATATCTAATCGACTTTTGATGTTGTCTTTAGTCTTTCCGGGAACATTTAACAATGTGTTGGTCACATTATCGAAGAAGTTTTTCTCAATGTGCATGAAGTCAAGGCTATAGCGGAGAAGATGAGTTTCCCAATATGGTAATTCCCAAAAGATACTCTTCTTTACCCAATTGTGAGTAACTCCGTAACCAGATATTGTCTTCGATGGATTATCATGTCCATTCCCTCCACAGGTAACAGATTCTTTTAAACCTTCGATATTATTTATCCTTTCACGTAATATTCTTCCCCAGTCAACCATGGTGGAAGAGGATCCTTAACGGTTTTTCCCCACCTAAATGCTTGAGTGTTTTTCCTATAAGGATGATCTGCATCTAAAAACCTTCTGTGGTAATCAAAACAACTATGTATGTTTCTATCCATTAGGCAACCAGAATGCATCTGTCTCATCTTGACAATATGGGCATGCCATTCGACCATGAGTTATCCACCCTGAAAGCATCCCATACGCAGGAAAATCGCTTATCGTCCACATCAACACTGCTCGCATTATGAAACTTTCTTTCTTTGAAACATCATAAGCCTCCACACCATCCTTCCATAAGCTTTGTAATTCTTCAATCAACGGCTGCAGGTAAATATCTAAGCTTTTCTTCGGATGTTTAGGCCCATGTATTAGTACTGAAAGTAACAAGAGTTCTCTTTTCATGCACATTCCCGGAGGTAAATTGTACGGACTTACAATAACTGGCCAAACAGAATGTGCTTCGCCACTCATACTAACCGGATTAAACCCATTTGTTGATAAGCATAGATAAATATTCCGACTTTCAGCAGCAAATGTAGGATATATCTCATTGAAGTGTTTCATGCTATGGCATGAGATGGATGATGCATTTCACCTTCCGGAGACACATGTTCCTTATGCCACCGCATATTAGAAGCTGTTGCCTCGAGTTGGTATAGACGTTTCAGATGCTCTATAATAGGCAAGTAAAAAATTCGCTGTTTTGGTTTGTTTTTCCCTTTTCAATTGTTCGGATAATAGCGATCTTCTCTACAAAACCGACATTTGACCAATTTCGCATCGTTTCCTTTCCAAAACAGCATACAATTCTTCACGCAAACATCAATCTTCTGCACGGGTAACCCAAGAGCTTTCGTCAGTGTTTTGTCTCGTAATATGTTGATGGAGCTTTATTCAGCTGCGGAAGCATATTTTTAAATACTTCTGATATCTCATCTACACAAGCTTCCGCCAAACTATAATATGTCTTTACTTTCATCATCCGTGAAGCAAGAGACAACTGAGATATTCCTTCTGCACACCCTTCGTAAAGAGGTTGGGTCGCTGCTTCAAATGCATCAAAAACATTATCATGATATGGTTCTGCTATCTCTGTCTCTTCTATAGGTTCTGGCATGTAGGGTGGCGCAATGTCCGCTTGTATTACTGAAATCTCCTGGTAGCAATCTTCTTAACCATTCCAAGTATGATTCTCCCACATTCCATCTTCACCCGTCGAGTTATTCGCCTCGGAACTCTCACCAACATCATAGAAGTTCTCTCCATGATTCGTCCACACATAATAATTCTCTTTAAAGCCGTATATGAATAGATGTCTTGAGAAAACTTTCACTTCTCGTTGCTTCACATTTTTGCACCGTGCACACGGACACAATAACGTTTGCCTTTCCTGATAATCGGCTTGATTACATGCAAATTAAAGAAATGCATTAATACCTCCAATGAAGACTTCAGAAACAGAATTACTTCATGGATCAAACCTTTCATCCATCCATTCTCTTGATTCAAAGTAGAAGGACATAGTGCATTTCAAAATTTTGAGAGAATAATGACTTGAATCTCATTCTCGGGTAGGTTTGATTATTAACTGAAATCACGACAAAGCCACTACAAAAGCGTGGCTAAGATAAAAAATGACCTTTAAGCCACGCAAAAGCCACGAAACTAACGTGATTAACTCACTTTCGCCGATCTATGTCGGCACAAAATACCAAAAAACAACAAAGCCACGAAGAAACCGTGGCATATTCGTGGCTTTTTATGTCGGCAGAAAAAAAAAGATTTGCCACTACTAGTTTTCGTGGGAAAAGCGTGGCGTTTAGTCAATACCACGAAGTCATCGTAGCTAATATTGTGGCTTTGTTTGCCACGACTACATTTCGTGGGTGTTTTGTGGCTTATTTCCATACGTTTCGTGGCTTTTTTTTATTTATTTCATGGCTTCTGCATGGTCTTGGCGTGGTTTTTTATGTTTAGCCATGGTATTGTAGTGGCTTACGCGTGCCTATGCGGTAGAATTTTACTAGTGGAGATTACTTATCTTCTTAGGGTTACTGGTTTTATGAGAAACCCAATAATATTTTCAAGTGGTTTTAGGCCAATATAGTTTCTCTGTTGGGCTGTGTATCACAATTTTATGGTCTAGATGTGCAATTGAACAGCACTGCCAATTTGAAAGATCTATATAACAAGTCGGTTCAATAGAACAAGATAACTTGTAATGATGGATCAAGAATATAGAACAAGGTTGTTCATATCCTAAATTTATTATTTTTATTGAAATCTTCTAAGTAATCCACGTAGATCCACCAAATTAGGTAAATTCTGTTTTACCGCATTAGAAAAGTTAATATCTACATGATATTGGGCTGATTTTACTTCTAAGGCATACTCTTGATGAGAAAAAAGAAGCCTACCCCTCCTCTCTTGAAACCTCCTCCTCTCTTTCGTAAGCTTCAAGAAGAACAACCCTACTCCAACCCGGCTATGGCCGGTGTCAGAGGTCTCTCCTCTCCCCCATAACTTGTTTTTCTTTTGCCTTCTCTTGAATCCATTTCAATATCGGCCGATATGCAAGCTTCCATTGTGTCACCGTCTCTTTCTGTTGGTCTTCTGAGAGCAAGGGGAAGAACTTCAGGTGAATATATGAAGAAACGGTGAGGTCTGTGGAACGGCGGAAGCGAGGAAGGTCGGCTTTTAGCGTTGAAGTGTATCGTCAGATCTAGTTTTCACTTTCTTAGATCCTCGACGGAAGCTTCACAACAGTGGCGCGTGGCTCGGTGGGAGCCCTCCTCAACCTCATATCTACTTCCCTCGAAGGCGGTGTGATGACTGGAGGAGTGAATCGATGCATGGTGGATAATGGTCACGTTCTTCGGTTCCCAGTGACGTCACAGCGCAAAGCTCTACACCGATGGAGCTGTCAACCGGAGGTGCAGACTTTGGTGGGGTTCGTGGTGGCTGTACATCCCAGCTCTATCAGCTGTTCATCTGCGATGTCTGGAGGTACCACCTCCACGCATTTAGATGCTAAGATTGCTGTACTGGTCATGCTGCTGCATTCAAGACCCGATTTTTCAGTCCGGACGTGTGTTCCACTTCTTGGCTTAGGATCAATACCTTGATCTCGAAAGTGATTGGCCAATACTTGAGATGCACCTGATGGTGGAGAGGTCCTAGCCGAAGCGCAGTAATCAGATCTTTGGTGATTAGTGACTTATACATATATGTAATCAAGTTTTTGACTAAATCTCCTTTGGGTAATTAGGGGTTTCATATCTCGGTCTGATTTTTGGGGTTTAAGAGGCAGTTTATTCTTTGTAGAGTAAACTCGTTCTCGGGGCGAAAATACAATGAAGTATCGATTCAGGTAACATAGGATCCATCTATGTATTCTTAGGTGATACTAGATTTTCATTGTACGTGTGGTTTAATCTCTTTGTATAGGCAAAAATCATCTAATCTCATATGGCTAATGATAGTTGTAATTGAGCCCAAAAAAAGGCATACTCCTGATAAGCTGTTCGCAAGCTAATTTCTAATAAATATATGTAAAAGGATAAGGGGACAAGTGCATAGAAAATATACATAAGTCAATTATGTGTGCTACAAAACAAAATACTAAGCATTAATTAGGCTAAGGCTGAAATATCTGTGTTTATTGATTACACATTCATTTGTAGATGACCATAATCTTTGTTCTTTCTAAATATGCGTCATTTTACATTTTCATCCAAAACACTGTAGTTGTATTTTTTTTTTTTTTGTTTCTCAGTCGAAATTTATTGGGGGTAAAAGTGAATACTTCATTCTCTGTATTTTCCGAATCTTATCTCTACGTGTTCGCAAACTCACCATTATATGATAAGAAGAAGACAAAACTTACAGCCAAATAGCTAAACTTATCTTTCTCCAAAACATTTGGTCCATACGATAAAGCAAGAAGAAGAGGAAAAAGATGAAGCATGAAATGAGGAACATGAAGCTACGATGCATATCCTTCTTCTTTCTTCTCTTCGGTTTGCTTCTTGGAAATCTTGTAGTCGAAGGTCTTATTGTTCAACCCATCTCCTGCATATTCAAGAAATCTTCTTAATTATAATCTATTGATATCAACATCAAGACGTCTAACAATAGTTTTTCTTTTTGAAATTCTCTTGTTCGCGTACTTTTGAATCAGCTTCAAAAGCTCGTTCGATCGACGATACGCTCTCACTTTCCCGAAAAGTCCATCTCCCGGTATATTCATAATGAGAGAATTGTTGTCTATTAGTAATTACTACAAAGGAAACTAGAGATAATAGATGATTTAGTTGTATTTATATTGTAAAACGTATGTTACAATATTTTCATACAGTACTCAAGGAGGCATATGATTGGGTCGACGGCTCCAACTTGTACTTACAACGAATGCAGAGGATGCAGATACAAATGCAGAGCTGAACAAGTCCCCGTCGAAGGAAATGACCCTATCAACAGTGCTTATCATTACAGATGTGTTTGTCATAGATAATAATGATTATCTCTTTTTTTTGGTAAACTGATAATCACTTCTTTTTCCACTTCTACTGCACCTTTTGTATCGGCTTAATTGCATTTTGTTTTTTGAATGAGATGTTTTGGTCAAAATTATACTTTTAAGATGGCGTACAGTTTTTTCAGTAATGGTTAATTTTTTAAAAGTTTCTATGCAAAGTTAATTTGGGTAGAGTATATTATGCATGCAGTGTAATACTTTTTGGTCAAACTATTTTAGTTGATATTTTTTAATGTAAGATAAAATTAGAGGTAATCTAGGTTCTGAATATATTTTTAACCAAAAACATCATAGACGGAACAAATTAAGTATTAGTTATTATTGTTTCTTGCTTAATATTAATAAGACATTTTACTTACTAGCCAAATTTTCGTCAGTGTTCTTGCTACTGTGTGCATGGGATAATAGGATTGTTTGAAGTTTATGGTGGGATTCGTGTTGATGATGATACCGACGAT